GCAAAGTGGGACTATTTCTTCCTCAATATCACGTGTCCAGAGCGACCACTCCATTTGCAAAGCGGTAATGGGATGAACTGCATGAGCTCTCCTAATGGTTTCAGGGCTTGCCTCAGATAAACCAATGTACTTGATTTTTCCTTCTTCCACCAACTTCTTAAGTTCAACCATCTAAGGGAAAAGAAAATATGATAATATTTTAGTGTCACACATCTAAAATATTATATCAGCAGCAAACATGAGCATACACCAAGGAGAAAACTAAAGCCTTTTGCAATATGCAATGAATAATGTCATTCTTTGTAGACCAGCACTTACAGTATCTTCTACTGGTACTGTTGTATCAATCCTGTGTTGGTAATAAAGATCAATATATTCCACACCAAGGCGATTCAGGCTAGCCTCACAACAGGAACGAACATATTCTGGAGTACCTTTTATTATGACACCATTTGAATCCAATTTCACAATACCAAATTTAGTGGCTAATTGTACCTTATCCCGAGGTAGCTGCTTCAAAGCCTAAAAGACATTGATTTTAGTAAAAACATGAACTGCTTTCACAAGCAGAGTAAGAAAGCATAAAATATTTAACACACCACAGCAGAACTTGATAAATTTACTTTATATTAATTCTTTGATCTTCTAAACCAAAAGTGACTCAACAACTTTGTTATCCGGCAAAAGTGGATCATCTTCAACAATCAACAACCAACGTTCTAGATATCTAGATCTTTCTTGGTATGTGCACTAACAAATGATTTGCAGAACTTCTCTTTCCTTTTTCATGTTATTGAAAGGAATAGATCACAAATGAAAGGAAGTTCACCAAATAATCTATTTATCTATAACATTAACATCAACAATCTATGCAAACTACTACAAACATTAATTCCTAGTAGCTCAAGTACGAATTTAATGGGAAGATAGTTAAGGTTCCATCTAGTCTACTCTAGTTAGAAATTTTAAGCCTCTATCTTATATCCAACAACTACAACTATAGAATCAACCGCAGAATTTGTTCTAACTTGGGGAAGGAACTTGTGTTGAAGCAAGTTTATACCTTTCCAACTAATACTTCATTAGTATTAGCTCCATAGAAATCTGAAGTATCAAAGAAAGTAATCCCACTGTGAAATGCATGCTTGATGATTGATATGCCAATTTCTTCAGGGACAGGATCGTTATAAAATCCAGTTAGCCCCATACAACCAAATCCCAACTTGGAGACCTACAAAATAATTGCATGGCAACAGGTAAGGTATTAAAGAAGGGTACTTCACTTAATTAACATCTTCACAAAATTAAAAAGCTTTACCTAAAACACAAGGGCACTAGTCTCAAATGGCCAGGGAGACAAGCATAGATTGTGCAGATATTTGAAGAAACCACAAAGTTTATTGCTTGACTTCCAAATCAAGAAACTCTATTTTTCTGGAAAACTTTGAACTTAAAGTTGAAGATTACCTCGAGTCCTTGAGTACCCAGTTTCACTCTGGGAATGACAACTCCCTGCTGCTGCTGCTGCTGCTGCTGCCCAACCCCAGCCATTGTTGAACTCTGTTCTCCTCTGTGCTTGAAACTTGAAACTTTCACTTGGGCAGCTTACAGCTTTGAGTAGAACCTGTGATCTTGTAGTGCAGGAGAGTCGAATTTATAGGTGCGGTCTCCCACTGTAGCTCCACTCACTGACGCCACCTTGTATGTCATCTGCACGCCACCTTGTATGTCATCTGCATTAGAAACCGACAAAATGGTGACAAAATGGAAATCTTTTGCTACTGCTCAAATTTTGACAACAAAGGCTGGGGTGGGGGTAGTGGGTGCAACCACTGTTTTAAGACCCGGCCCGATTCGGTCGGTTGAACCGGTTCAACTGGACCTAGGCTTAAAAACGGACCAGTTATATGTCTTAGGGCCTGTTTGGTATAGCGGTTTAGGGGTAGCGATTAACAGTTTTACTTAAACCGCCAAATATAGGTGTTTGGTAAATTTATATATTTTGAAACTGTTAGAAATAAAGTATTTGGTAAAATTTTATTTAGCAGTTTGAGATTAGTGGATAGCGGTTAGAGTCCAAACCGCTAGCAGATTGAAAAAGTTAGTTTATGTAGCTTTTTGTACCAAATCGCTAGCAAATTAAAAGTTTTTAATTTTATTGACAAATTTATCCATTTTAATTTGTGATTTGTGGTTGCATTTTTTAATTAATAATTATCTAATAAATTTCAATTTTGTTTTTTTACCTTTGATAACATTAAATTATTATAATATTTTTTTGTACATTAATTTATAATTAAAAAATATATTATCTTAAAAAGCAAAATTTGTTAATTAGACAAAATGATTGATTTTTTATTTAAAAATAATATAATTTTTTCGTTTTTAAAAATAGAAATGATGGTGTAATTACATTATTATAATTAATTTTATTTATTTTTTTTTTATAAAATTAATCATTTTAATAATAAAAATAAAAATATTTTAAAAAATACACTTATTTGTTTTTATACTTGTCCTTATTAACCATTTAATGTTAAACAACAACCGTTAACTATTGTATAGCCAAATAATTATATTTATCAAATTCGTTATTTATTATCCGCTACTCACTTTTCACTATCCACCATTTACTATCCGCTAACCACCACCCGCTACCCGCTATTGCTATCCATTATCCATTACATACTATCCGCTATCTGCTGAATTTTAACCGCTATACCAAACATATTCTTAATCCATTTTGGGGATTAACCCGCCCAAACCCGTTCGACCCGTTCGACTCGCTCCGCCCGCCCAACCCGCTTCTCCCGCCGGGCAGAATCTGTCTTCTTTTTTAGTCCCAATTTGCTCTCCACAGTCCACACGCCTCTTTCCGTTGTTCCTCGTGACCGTCGCCTGAGCAAGCAAAGCAAAATCCAATTCTTCTTGCTCTTTCCGTCGCGCCTTTATGTGTGCATGCATCGTGATCGTCTCAATTGTCGTCGTCATGTATAAAACGGCCTCATCCTCCGCTTCTGCTCTCCTCAGAGCAAGGCTTTTCTCTTCCTCTCTCAAGAGTACTCTCACTTCGCCTCCACCTTCTTCTTTAATCAACCACTGATCTTTCAGCTTCTCCACAGTCGTTTGCTCTCTCTGCTGTTCCGTTCCGCGATGGAGTCACGGCGTTGATTGGAGGTCTCCAATCAGTCTCCGTGCTCAGATCAGATCTATTGCTCCCGTTATCGAACGATTGGAGAGGAAGTTCACCACTATGAGTACTATCGCATTTGTGGAGTTTATTGCTTCGTTTCGCTTGCTGAAATGATTTTTTAAATTTTAAATTTCTGTGGATTAGCATTTTCTAGCTTTTAAATGTGATTAACGCTTTTTGACCTTTTTAGCTTTTTAATTAAGCTTAATATTACCTTTATCTTAGCTACTAATGCTGAAAAATGATGATACTAGATTTAAATTAGTCAAACTCGATTCCTTTGTCTGTCTTACATGAATTAACGAGTGCTTTTCTCTATGATTTTAGCTGCAGAACATCCTTTCAATTAAAAATAATTTTTTTAATTGGACCAATTGAATCGATTGATTAAACCGATTGAACCAATTGAACCAAATCCGATGATCAAAATGGGTCAATCATCGGACCAGGTCTTAAAACATTGGGTGCAACGACAGCTAGAATGTTTTTAAACTCGAACCGAAGGTCAAACCATTTTGATTTTTGGTTCACGATAATTGGTAAAACCACCAGGTTAATTAAAATACTAAAAATATATTATTATGCAAAACATTTCACATGGTGTCCATGAGGTGTAGTGGTGCGTGGTTGATTTTTTATGTGAAAGATCACTAGTTCGAGTCCCCGAGAACAAATTTTAATATAATTGTAGTTTTAAAAATAAAATAAATATATTATAAAATAAAAAATTAATAACAAAAGACTGTGCATAATATGGAGGGTAATCAAATCCCAAAGCTATCATCAATAATTTGGTTAAAAGTTTTGAAAGTTTATTAGATAAATAAAGTTTCAAGCACCCATGGACACAGTGGTTCTAGTGGCAAAGAATTAGAATAAGGGCTTGAAGGTTGTATGTTCAAGCCTGGTGAGAGATAAGTTTGCCAAGATTTTAAGCTCAGATTGAACCGTTTGGTTGAATGATTTATTGGTTTTAATGGTTTTTATTGGTTTTAAATTATTTAACCATTCAAATGGTTTAAAAGACGCATCTGAACCATTTATAATATTAGGTATTAGTTTAACCGATCCGACCAATCAACCGGTCCAGTTTTTAAAACTGTGCCAGCCACTCTTTTGATTCGGTCACAACTCTACTGAGCAGCTGATAATTTAATATTAATTAACAAAAAAAGGTGTTTTACAAGACACTGTAAGTAAGTATATAAAAAATATAATA